CCAATGTCAGTGTTAACCAGGAGTACCTTCAGATTTTTAATTTTTATTTATGGTCCGATCTACAGAATGAACTTACTGTGTCTTGAAGTCTTACAGTGGTATGCTTGGGCTTAGTTTTTAATTTCATTAATTACAGGGTCACAAGCAGGTGGTAGTACCAAACCTCCTTCTCTATTGAAATAAGTTTTTTTTATTTAAATAATCTCACGTATCATCATAGACTCAGAAATGAGGATATCCGCAGTAAAATCAGAGTCCGATATAGCCCAACGGATTAGTAAGCTGAAGTGGCAATGGGCCGGCCATATAGCTCGAAGAACCGATAACCGATGGGGAAGAAAGGTTCTCGAGTGGCAGCCTCGTACCGGTAGGCGTAGTGTAGGGCGACCCCCCACTAGATGGAGTGATCACCTGGTAAGACATGCAGGAAGTGGATGGATGCAGGTGACTCAGGACCGTGCTTTGTGGCATTACTTGGGGGAGGCATATGTTCAGCAGTGGACTTGTGAAGGGCTGTAATGATGATGATGATGACGTATCATCCTTGATAGGAATTGATGTTCCTTCGAGAGGATTTGTGGTCTATCAAATCTGATTTATGACTATCTGGTTGGGGCCGTCTAGGATATGATCACAAACTGCAAACTTCCCTGAACTTTGATGCTTCACGTCAGCTATATGTTCTTTTACGCGGGTTCTTATTGTTTTTTTCGTTTTCCCTATATATGAGAGACCATTTTCACAATCAAGCTTGTACACTCCTGCGTCTTGTGGAAGAATATGACACTTGATGGATGGTAAGAACTCACCAATCTTCTTCAGAGGCTTGTAAAATGTTCTAATAGAAGCTCGCTTCAAGATGTGGCCAATCTTGTCTGTGACACCACTGACATATGGTAGTACTCCACACGCTTGACTGTGGCCGGCTTCACTCGGTCACTGTGACGTAGGCGCGGGACCCGAAGCTTGTTGACGTGCAGAACCTGCTTGACGTGCTGATGTTCGACGGCCAGATGTTTGCTGTTACAAACGCCTTGTGCTCTCTGAAACAAAGATTTGCTCATGGTAGCTAAGTGTGAAGGATGATGGTGAGATTCATTGTTTTCTATACACAGTGTGTATGTTATTGTTAGGATTTGGGATGACTAACGCATCTAAGGCAAGCTAAGGAATTATTTGCTTCTAATTTATATGTCAATACATCATCCAGGAACTGAGCAGGAAGCAAAATATTAGTCTGATGCCGTGCCCAACCCAAATACCATATTACTGTCATAACATGGGCACAGCATCCTACCGTTCGATGGCTGACAATACAATTGCAACAATACTTTTAATTGCACTTCTACCAGAACCATTGCCACTAATTAAAATATGTATATAATACACATTACGACTGATGGTGTAGACTTATGATTCTAGCCCTATGTAAAGATCAGCTAGGGCTAAAGTTTATTTCTTCCATAATATCACCATAATAGGAGCGAGCTTGCTTTAATTGATATGTGCCACAAGAAATAAATATTAAGTCGCTGTAAGTTAAAACAGGAAATTCCATAACATTTTTAGAGTCTACATTTGTATTTCTAAAGTCTGCCCTAGCTCTATTTACATTGCTTTCCTTAGAATACTCAGACAAATCATTATTTGTCTCCATATTTTGGAGAACTATTTCAAGTATTTGAGCCGCATCATCTCTGTCAATTATTTTTGTGTGGAATTTATTAATTAGAGCAGATGCCACAGTAGTCTATCATCAAATATGTAGAAGCCCTGTCAAAGTAATTTTGACAAAATATTTTAAATTCAGTTTTAAAAATGCCATTCACCACCTCTACTACCCATATCGACACATAGTCACGGCTCCGGACTTATTAGTATATCTTGTCATTAACTGAGAATCACCAACTGGAGACAAAGGTACCCGTTAACTCCATTTGGTATACGAAGATTTCTTGGAGCTATTTCTACTCAGGATATTTATGAATTATGTCTACATTCATAGAAACAAAATCCTGATTTAACATTTCACAGGCCATATTCATGAGCAGCTCTAATGTATTTCTTGGAATTTGCAATAATGCCGACATGCGTTCGTCACTATCTATTATAATTACTTGACAGTTTCTAATCGTATATATATATATATATATATATATATATATATATATATATATATATATATATATATATATATATATATACAACACGTAACATAATTAACACATTTTGAGAAAGTAGTTTGTTCAGAATCGTTTACTGAATCGATTCCTATCATTTTTAATATAGGTAATTTTTTATCCCAAAAATAATTAAAACTACGTAAATTACAGTCACAAAAAATCTGTATAGTCAAAACAAACTGAAATGGACCGTAACTTATGGCAATAAGACTTTTAAGAGTGCAGTTTTATTTGTATTATTACTAATACTCTCATTCAATAAAAATAAAGAAAAAAAATGAACTTTATTTTAAGCACGTTAAAGGCTTTGTGTTCGTGGATTTGTACTGTGATCACAACATTCTTCTGGAATTAGTATAACTAATTTGATAAATAATCAGTGCATAAAATGTTTAACTAAAAATTCAGTGTATGTACGCGAACACTACACAATGAAATTTTACAGAATTTATCGCGTATATTTAACTTTTTAAATACCCGACGTTTCGAGAGCTTTACAACACCCATGGTCACGGGAAGGACTGAGATGTTCAACGTCCAGATGTCATAGTTAACCGCGGTTACCATAGATTAAAATTTAACTTTTGTTCCGATCTACACAGTATGAACTTATGGTATCATGAAGTCTTGCGGTTGTATGCTTGGGTTGGGATTTAATTTTATTTATTATAGGATCCCAAGCAGATGGTAGGACCCAGCCATCTTCTCTATTGAAATTAGGATGTTTTTTGATTTCAATAGCCTCGCGAATCATCCTTGGAAGGAATCGGTGCTCTTTAGCAAGGATTTGTGGTCTATCAAATCTGAAGTAGTGACGGGGGCGATCCTGTACGTGTTCACAGACTGCAGACTTCCCGGAGCGTCGATTCTTCACATCATAAAGAACATATGGTTGATGTGTATATATATATATAAAGCTTGTGCAGATGTGAAAAAATAAAACAAGTTCTTGAGTTGATACGCAATCAGTGTAACTATCAGATATGAGCACCACAAACACAAACTAAACATCGCTTGTGAGTAGGATTCAAATCCAAGACATACTTTATTGTGTACACCACGTTCATCTCAAAAAATTAACCTGAACTGTTAGCCCTATCGTTATTCTCAGTTAGACACAGACTTCTTAGTGACTACAAACCCTACAGAACCTCACCGTTAGCACAACGGATGGGATGCAGCAAGTCCGAAGACGGGCGCGCTGCATACCCCTGCACACCGCGTACACACCGTACACCCGCGTCCCTGGGCGGTTCTCACCGCCCTGTACGTCGAACGATACGAGTTAGCTTTCAGAGCTGTTTTCCATCACCCCCTGTTCGGATGGCCGTTAGATAAGTCTCATCTACGTGCAATGTACACTATCGTAATTGAACATAGTTACATAAGTAACGTTAAGAATAATATAAAATCACCCCTGAGAACGCTGAAGCTGTAAACGCCGAAAAGGCTATCACCACTAAAATCATCAGAAACTGGACTTTCTGTATCAAATAACAGAAGAGCAATGTACAAACACTGCAAAAAAATAACACAAGTGGTAGATAAAGTAGCTTGTGGAAAAAATACCGTCACAACCGCGCCCCGCCAAACACAAAGCGACCCGCCCCGGCTTTCCCAGGATAGGATCTATTAATGTGGCGTTATTTAGATTTTAGTTAATCAAAGACCACTTATTATATACATTTAAGTAGTTTTAAAAAAGTCTTATAATGTTTCAGATAAAATATTATATTCTAGGTCGTTCCTGGCATTTCACGAATGGGTCTGCTCGACTGGGGTAGTGCCACGCTCTCATAGAATACTTGTGTGAAATAACAGCTTAATGCTGCTGTGTTTCATATGGTTGGTGTAGATAACCGGATACCCTTTTTACTGGAAAAGAGGCATTTCATCTTAGTCCTCACGGGTGACAACGCATCTGCATTTTGATTCTTAATCGAGGGTAGATGTAGATGCCTATGAGCTGCAGCAACCACTTACCAGGTGGACTGTGTACTCGGTTGTACCCTTATTTTATAATAGTAATTAATAATAATAATAATACATCTGTTCGTAAGCTTTCATCACAATTTTCAAAGCAAATAAATTTTCATTTCATTTCATTTTAATCAATATAGCCATCTCGGAGATTAGCCCAGACAGACAATATACAAAATTAAAAAATCTTTACTTATGTCTCAATAGTATGCAAATGATCCCCTACTCTAATTAGAAGATAATAGAATAAGCCACAAAGCCGTAACTCTTGCCATGGGGGGTACATTGCATTTACGGGGAGGCCTAGGTATGGGTGGTGTTTGATAGCCTGTAAGTGTATAGATTAAAACAAAAATTAAGACTGTAATGTTGAATGTATATAATGATGCCAACTTATGTTGTTAATATATGTAATGATGTTAACTTATCAATTAGTTTCCACGACAACTTTCCTGGCGACGATAGGATTTAATGACGGCAGGGATTTCCTATACCACTGAAACGGTATTTACTCGGTGCGTTAAGGAAAAATAAATACTGCCTAGTGAACGAATAACGCGAAATCAACAGATTAACTCACCACAGTCGCCTCGCTACACAGACAATAGTGGGGATCGTATCGCAGAAATTAAATTCATATTTTAGTCCTCCAGATGAAGTCATGTAAAACGAACAAATAATACGAACAACAAGCGTGTGTCTTAAATGCTTCTTGATAATTACTAATGTTGATAACCTTTTAAGTCAGTGTTCGTAATTTATCTATCAGTTGAATAGAAGACGGATGTTAAACAACATTCATGTGAATAAATTTATTATAATTTGTGATTTTATACCATGGATTCAATACATAAGACGACAGCCACCATATGCCTCCTAACAGTTATCGTAGTATCAGCTCAAGGTATGTTTTTACAGTATCTTACCTTTTTAAACAATAAGTTTGTAATACAAAATTCATTATAAAGGTATTTGAAGTATTAATTATTCATTTTCAGTTAAATATACTTTCGTAGATTATGCATAGTATTATATTATAAAATATAAATTCAATTTTAGTACGCTTACGTCCCAAAAAACAAGATTTTATATTTCTTTGATTCACTCTAACGTGTTATTATAATGAAATAAAATGGCGTTGACTGTTTAGTACATTCGTGCACAGTTTGTATAATGGCGTAATTACTTATTTTTATATCTATTATTTAGGGACTAATGGTGAACGTCAGAAAATTTAAACCTAAATAAAACTAAAACAAGCTGAAAATGTCACAACTTAAAACCGAAATACTGATACACCTAGGTTTAGCCCGCTACAACTAGGTACAGCCGATTGCGTCTGATTAAACTTTGGTGCAGTGTATAATACCTCTATTACCAGCCTTTTATTGCCAATTTTAATTTAAGAATATCGTGCTACTTTAGTTAGAGAAAAATATTTGTAAATATTCGTTTTAATCAATAGTTTAAATATATATTCAAAGATATAGTGAACATCCATTTACAATCATATTATTTTAAAAACAATTTCCAACACGATTATAAACTAAAAAAGTGCTATAGCTAAAATTTCAAATTGTACTGTATGACATCCTTTTGTGTACTTAATGCCGGCCTAGCATAGGGGTTTATTTAGTTTTTGATACCTATTGTACGTATGTTTTGAAGGCGCGGTGATAAATTCATAACAATGTAAATTAAACATCATCAAATTAAAGACTTTTTATTAGATAGGTCAAACCAAATAACAGCCTGACGGCTAACATTAGGCAAACCCTACTTTTCGTGTATCTAATTACAGCCCCATCTATTTCCACTAAAATAAAAGTTTAAAAATTTGTACAGAAATAACTGCATTACCGTCTATAGACGTATTCATGCAAACCTGCGGTGGCGGGCCACGCACAATATAGAGGATTCCGTAGTTGTCCATCACAATACTTGGGCTTTCTTGATAATGATTATAATAAGTGAGTTCGCGATTTGACTGCTATAACAACTAATATAGGTATAGCAATTAATAAGAAGATGGTAACTGAAGGACTTATTTTTAAATCAGAATTATAGGAAGTGGTATTCAAAAAAGATAAAAAAAACGATTTTTAAGATGGTCATAGTTGACTATCTATATATCCCCGACAGTTCAACCTTAAGATATAGTATACGACCGTAACGCACCTTCCCGTAAACCACTTCTGCTCGAAATTATTTTGAGGGTTGCCCGCGTAAACCAAGAGTATGATGAATGAAACTGTATGAGGCTATAATACAGCTGTTCGAATACTGTAAATGAGGCCTACAATAACTACCAACTAAAAAATAAGCGAAAATAGTAAATAAATGGGAAAAATCCTCCCTGTCCATAACACAAATAAAAAATTAAAACTATAGTAGTAAGGCATAAAAGTCGTTTACTTCTTAAAATGTTTATTTCTTACTGTTTATAAAGTTACAACGCAGCTAGTTTTATTTCATTTTCTATGGAATTATAACGAAATTTTTACTAATCCAAGTGGATTGATAAGTTGGTCGACTATTACTTATTAATTTGTTAATTCTACTTAGCTGTGATAGTTTTCCTTTTAACTTCATTATATACCATTGAGTATACTTTTCACACATCCAAAAACAGCAGTTTAGTTGGTAGAGGAGGGGGGGTGACACACGACTTTAATGAAAAATATGACTTCAAAACTTAATATTTCGCAAACGAACCCCTGAATCGAAAAGATGTTCTTCCATAATGCGAATGTTTTTGAAAAAACTATCACACGATGGAAAAAATGGGTAAAAAAAAATCACTCTCTATTTACCTGTATGGGAGGTACCCAAAATAAAAATGATTATTAAGATTTTATTCACAGTTTTGTAGGCACGATCAATATCTATAACTATGCCAAATTACAGATTTGTAGCCCCTAGGGTCTCTGAGTGAAACCGTGGACAGACGGACATGGCGAAACTGTAACGGTTCTTTGTTGTGTAGCTACGGAACTCTAACAATTAACACGACCTCGATTCTGATATAATATCATCAGGGTCATAAATTATGAAACGTCTGTTTTGTTCATAATATTGTTCATTTGTTTACAATTTGTTCATAATACGATAAAGTAAAACACAAAAAAAATGTAAAATATCAGTGCCATGGACTTATATTTCGTTCACCTGTTACACCCTATTTTTTCCAGACGGTAAAAAAATCACTCAGTATAAATAATTCTGATACACATAGTTACAAGTACACGTTAAAACACTTCCATTATATCTTGATTTTCTAAGTTTGTCGTGCGCGACTGTACTTACCAAGACTCACAAAACCAAGCCAATGAATTCAACGAGCTTAATGACAGCAGAAGCCAAACCTGTTCTCTGTTATTAACCGCAGACGAGCATTTGTGTAAACTGTTTTGACTTCTCATACACTATTAATTACAAACATTTTATAAGGTTGTTCTATTTAAATTGTTCTATAGCAACTATGATCATGAGTAACGTCCGTGTCACACCCATTTTGGTAGTTGTTGGAAGTATAACGCTCGAAGATTTTCGTAGTTGTTTGAAGTATAACGCTCGAAGATTTTGGCGAGTATGTGTGCGAGGTACCTGGGACAAATTGTCCGACTGTATAAGTCTTACTTCAACCGAGAGGTCAATCGACGAATTCAACTCGGCTGGAAAGCGTTCGGAAGGACCTATATCCTATACCTCAAATCTTGAAAACCAGATTGTGTAAACAGTGCGTGCTGTCAGTGATAATATATGGCGATGATGGTGGCTGAGACGAGGTCCTCCATAGCTGACCGTATGAGGAAGTTCAAGATCACTCAGGAGGCTACGGAGAGGGCTATGCTCGGGGTTTCTATCTGTGATAGACTACGAAATGAGGATATCTGCACATGAACAAGAATAATCATAGCCCAACCGATCAGTAAGCTGAAGTAGCAATAGCTCGCAACCGACAACCGATGAGGAAGAAAGGTTCTCGAGTGGTAGCCTCGTACCGGTAAGCGAAGTGTAGGGCGGCCCACCACTAAATGGAGTGACAACCTGGTAAGAAATGCAGGACATCGATGGATGCAGTTGGCTTAGAACTTTACCATGTGACGTAAAGCTGTTCGTTCTGCGCCTGAGCACTCTCTATTTTTGTCCGATTTCGAATTCCCATCGGAATATGAGAGTGAATAACTCGCAGAATTATTTGTGGACGAGTGCAACGCGCTTACATATTCTGTATGAATAGAAACGTAGATCATTTAAACATGTAGACGTGCTTGTCTTTTAAAACTCACAAATAATAAATAAAAAAAGAAGAAAAGAAGGCAACGAAGATGATGTGTGATCACTGTCAACCGTAGCAGAAACTGTTTTTTGCTCTTGTCAAATTCTTAATTTGATCTGAAACGATTACTGTATGTATAAATAAATGTAAATAAAATTTTGTTGTACGATATCTTTAGAACGAATCCGTTTAAAAAAAAATCAAAAAAGAAAAAGAAAAAGAAAATTTTATTGACCATTGTCAATAAAAATATATTAAAAATATACGGTTAATGATTATCATTATAATCATTAACCGTTATAATTGATAACGGTTAGTAGTAATGTATTAAGTTCACGGGTCAACTGAATCATGACGAGTATGTAAGCACCGATTTGAATACGCACAAATAGTAGGTAAGTACTTTGATAACTTTGGGTCGCGCTAAAAAAACCGACATGGAGTGGAAAACAGGCGAGTAGACATGTGTCAATCATGAATTATTCGTTCGTTTGAGCTGGTACACTTAAAAATATTGATGGTTCATTCACCTGTTTTTGAATGTTCCGGTACAACCAATCACAAACAATTGACGGAACTTTTTTTAACTCGTGATTGGTGTGAATTGTGAATGAGTTGAAAACCGACAGAATCCCGAATGATCTGAATGAATTATTTTTAGTGTAGTGTACTGGCGCCCGAAAGGATCCATTTAAATGATCACGTGACGAAATGTACTAGCATGATTCGGTAATGACAGGCGACCGACTATAGCGAGCACACCCGAACGAGTCGTTTACATGTTCGTATACGTGCCTATTCCTCAGTGTTCGGCGAATATCTAAATATTGCATAAAAGGCTTTTGGCCAAAGTTTGCTTTCCTATCCATTTTTTTGGTATCGAGGTATACATTGCATGCAGTGAAAAGCTGCCCAAGCAATTTGCTTTGGCACGGTTATTCAAAGAAAATGGAATTACTGATATAATTAGAGTGAAATACTTAAACCCATTTAAAGTAAGGTTACAATTTTCGAATGAGGAAAATGTTCAAAAATTAAGTACCTGTGCGACATTCATTTCTATGGGATGGAGAATTCAAAAGGCAATGGAGGTTAACTACTCTTACGGAATTATAAGAGACGTGGAGTTAGAAATGTCTGAAGGAGAAATTATGAAAAATATATCATGCCCAGATTCTACAGAATGACCCAACCTCCAACATTGTGCCAGCCATGTGACTTCCGCTAGGACTTGCCCTGCTTACCTTAAAGAAAGAAGATTGCGAGAACTTATGGCCGAGTAGGTCTACTGATGAAAATATTGTGACCTAAATTTATTATGTATTCTTGATGAACTTAAAGAAAGCTTTTATTGGCGACGTAGAAAACCCCCACTGCTAGTTACAATCTATAGATTATTTAAAGAAACTCGTTTGTTTTCAAGTCCTCACTTAGAAATGTTTTCACTCAATTCGTGGATTAGCAAGTTGGATTTGTCCGATTCAATAATCCCTCAAATAGAATTTGTAAATGCGCCTAAACATAAATACAATCCCCATTACCTACGAATTTTATGTCATAATTATTTAGCTGAAAACTACAAATTATTATAAAGTACATTATACTGATGGCTCTAAGGATAA